AAAAGCATCTTAACATTTTATACATTTTCTGGATTTTTATATCAACAGTTAAGTAAGCACAGTCACAATATGAAAAAAAAGGCTGTTGTTTGGTTTTCAGTCCTAAAAGGAAAGTTGTATGCGTGTTACTCATGACCATTTTTGGAAAGTGTAGCTGAGTCTCTCTTTGTTATATAACAACATAAGAACAGCCATACTGGGAAAGCATCTTAACATTTTATACATTTTCTGGATTTTTATATCAACAGTTAAGTAAGCACAGTCACAATATGAAAAAAAAGGCTGTTGTTTGGTTTTCAGTCCTAAAAGGAAAGTTGTATGCGTGTTACTCATGACCATTTTTGGAAAGTGTAGCTGAGTCTCTCTTTGTTATATAACAACATAAGAACAGCCATACTGGGTCAGACCAATGGTCCATCTAGCCCAGTTTCCTTTCTGCTGACAAAGATTAATGCCATATGCTTCAAAGAGAACGAACATAATAGTTCAGTAATCAAGTGATCCATCCCATGTGTCAGTATCTGGCAGCTGGAGAAATGGGAAAAATATTTGTCAGTATATTTTTGGAGGTTGTGTTTTACCTTTTGACTTCCTATCAAGAAGCTGCAAATGCTAGAATAATTCATTGAGGTATGATGTCACATAGGAATGCTTTTAAAAAAACACAACACTGTGTTCCTAACACAGAAATGTGATTCATTTTTCTTATCTTTTTCTATGCACAATTAAATTAAATCAAATCATGTGAGGTGATTCATTGCTTTAAGCTAAAAAAGATAAATGAAAAAACATAATCAGATGTCCAAACTAATGGATAAAATGGTATGCCCGGCACTAGTTTTCCTGTTAAAAATTGGAGCTACCACTTTTGATTAGAATAATCAGACGTTCTTTGCATTTTTCTGACTTCGGAGCAAAAATGCTTGTATGTATTTTTTTTGTTTTAAATCTCTTCCTTAACTTTGAAAGTAAGGCCCAAGTTCTTCAGGAAATCAAGGACAATGCCTGAATGACAACAAAAATGGTAATAATGTTTACATTCAAGTTTCTGGGAAGCCGGGCTGGGAAAAATAAAATTACCCATGGTGGGTAAATTACATGCCAGGGGACTACTTGAAGACCCTTTCATCAACAGCAGCATTTTCTCAGATTGTTCTGCAAAACCAAGAAAATTGGTTCTAGCCAAGCCAGGAATGGATCTTAAAGCCATTTTCTTTCATTAATGTGCTATGGATGGAGTTTCAGACATCGGTTTCAGACTAAAAATAGAAATAAACATTCAACATTTTGAAATTAGTCACTGTTCTCAAAATACTACTTTCTCTGACTCACTAAGTAATTTTTGAGCTCTTACTTTCCTTTCTAGGCAGCTTCAAGTTATTTATAAACTCTGAAAGAATTACTGAAAGAATACTTTAAACACAGAATATCTTTATTTATAGATGACTACTGTAAGCATCTCAGTATTACTGCTCATTGTACCATCTCCTGCAGCCTTTTTTTCTGTTGTCTTTGCATAGATAGCATAGAATGTGCTACTGTAAGAAGTGGATCTTTTATATTTCTGTTGAAAAATATATTTCTGTTGAAAAAGATTGTGATACTCTTCCACCATAAGTAGATCTATTGACTTTGTGATACTTTTGGTCATGGTCAGTAATATGGATGTTAACAGGCGGGTAATTCATTAATCGTGTAGTTGATAAAATTTTTATTGACTATACGATTAGTCAGTAAGGGAAGGCTTGCTCAGTCCCGGCTCGCGCTGGATCCAGGAACTATCTCCACTGTGGCTCTGCAGTTTAAATGTAGTAAGAGGCAGGCGCACAGGCTGCCTGGCTCCTACTACATTTAAACTGCAGAGGCACAGTGGGGTTAGCTCCTGGACCCTGAGCGAACCGAGACTGAACAGGGCTTCCTCAGTCCCGACTCACACCGGGTCCAGCAGCCCCTGTCCACGGGAGCTGCTGCCGGAGAAGCCTCTCCTGCTACTTTGCAGCAGCCTCCCCTGCTCCCCCTCCCTCCTGTGCTGCTGCCTCTGATAGAAGCAGCAACGCATGGGGAGGGGAAGGAATGCGGCATTGCAGAGACAGTGCTGGGGGGAACTGGCTTTTAAGTTGGTTCCCTCCAGCACCAGCTCCTGCTTCCTGCCTTTTGCTGCCTCTGATCCTACCCTTTGACTAACTACTTGTTTACATCTCTAATAAGTAACCTGGCCATAAATTTGGATCATTTAATTAGAAAGACATTGCCCCAATTTGGTAGGGGAAAGAGGAGCTGCTCCTGCAGATGCAATGAGCAGAAAGCTTACGGGTTTTTTTGGAAACATGCTAGAATTTATTCTTAGTTACTTTGCTCTTATAATAAGCTATCCTTAAAACACTATTCCCTTAAATCTGAACAGAAGCTTATTTTTTGTAGAATAGATAAGCAAAGAATGTTGCAGAAAAATAGAGACAGATCCATTCAGTGGTTCGGGTCCAAAAAAGCTTGTGGTGCATCAGCAGCATTTAACATACTCAACCACATTGCAGAGCTCAAAGAAAGCCCTGTATTTATATTTCAGAGGATGTGGAACAAAGATTTGGACATGTGATGTGCATGAAAATTTAATGAGAAGAAAAAAAGAAGTTGCCTAGATACCTTTTCTTCTTACCTCAATGATTAGCTTGTAAATGACAATTTCACTACTAGAAATGTCTATCTACAGTTCCAAATATTTTTCTGAGCAAAGAAAAGGGATGTTATGGTCTCTTTCTTCATCTTAACAAATAATAAGGTCCGCAAACGTCATTAGTTTCACTGAAGCCAACAGCATGTTTGGACTATATAAATGCTAACCAAACAAATTAATTCTATCTCAAGAAGCCATTTCATCTTTTTTAAGTACTGTTGAAAGCACTGAGGTTTTAGTTTTCTTTTGTATGAAGGTAGGGCATTCCAGTTGTTCTGCAGACAGCTATGAAGTAACATCTTAATTTACAAATAGAATAATTAAATAAATGGGGATTACTTGCAGTGCACTCAATATGAGTGAAAGTGAAACAGTCTGAAACAAGGTGCTTAAAGAACTCGCGTGATTTTTCTCCTGTAAAATCTCTGATCTGAGACAAATCTCTGTTTCTGAGCCTGAGTCACTGGGTGAAAATGCCCTTTAAGGTTGTGTTGAAGGATTTGATTACCATATCACAATTCATTTCCATTTGTAAGTGTAATTGTACAAAGCCATCTGCATGCCTTAACAGGAACAACGTGAAGAAAGAATTCCATAATGTGCTAAAGCAATTAATGGAACAGTTCAAAATATTTAGGCTGAGATTTTAAAATGTGCCAAATGTGATTATTTTTCTAAACTGTCTAGACAGCTTTGAAAATCTCATAATTGTTGGTTCTGGTTTTCTTATAACTGTTAAAAAAGTTACAAATATTATGGAATAGCTATAAAAATTAGTCGTCATTAATTTATTTTGTTTGTTGTCATCCTCAGGAAAGATGTCTGGTGATCGTGGTCTGAGGAAACAGCAGCAGTTGAACAATCTGGTGTCCATGGTGATAAAACTATCTAAGCCTGGAGATGTGATTGTGGATTTTTGCAGTGGAGGGGTATTGTATGTTCTCTGTATATAGTGCAACATTATTGTTTTTTTAATCTTTTACATTTTCAGCAGGAAAATAGGATCATGGAGGATCATTCTTTCAGGGCTGTCAGGGACCAGCCTACCTGTGACAGGCTTCTGTAAGAGACAACAAGACAGTTCAGACCACCCTACAAACAATGATATTTCTAGGCAGCTTATTAGTTAATGAACCTGATAAAGTTGCCAAGGTCCTGTTAAGGGGGATGCTAGAGGCCAGATGCTCCTGAGAAGAGAAGCTCCCATCAGAGCAAGGGGCCTGGAAAGTGTGCTTCTAGAGAGGGGAGTTGGCTAAGTAGGTAGGGTTGCCAGGTGTCTAGTTTTGAACCAGACGGTCCAGTATTTGAGCTTTCTGTCTGTGAAAGAAATTGAGAAAATACCGGACATATAAATGTCCGGTATTTTCTAATTAAGTACGTTTTATTATTATCATAAATATCAGTACGCAAATACACAGTAGAGAGGAGGGGGGCGGGGTGAGGTGGGATGGAATCCCTGGGGCCAGACTCACCCTTGCGCCCCGCCGGAAACGTGTATGGGATGGGCAACAAACACCCTGGGATCTGCATGCACCCAGGCCAGCCCTGCTCCCCGCCTGCCAGTTCCCCCA